GTATCAGAGCAGGGCCTCTCTTCCAGTACGGTGTGGTTCGAGGACTAACCAGGCGGAAGCTGGTGGGCATATAACATCCCGAGCGCTGACGAGGGCGGGGAGTGATTGCCGGCGCGAAAGGGCATGAACAAGGAGCGACTTCTGACAGGCTTCCAGCGGGGGGTTACATGCATGAATGAATCGAATCGAGACCCGAAAGAGAGGAATTCCAAAGATTGTGCAGGTATAAGACTACACAGTTTGGGATAACTTATAAGAATTAAATGGTACTACATATAAAAACAAGATGCATTTGCTTTTTGGTAGCCCGGATCGGAAGAACTCCACAGTTAAGCGTGCTTGACTTGGAGCAATTCTGGGATGGGTGACCTCCTGGAAGTTTTCTCGGGAAGTGTGCGAGTGAAGAAAAAGCACACTGAAAAGTCTCGTGTTAGTATGTGGGGATAGTCATTGATTCTTGAAGTGGTCGGGCGTTACAAGTGGTATCAGAGCAACGTCTCTCTTCCAGTACGGTGTGGTTCGAGGACGAACCAGGCGGAAGCTGGTGGGCATATAACATCCCGAGCGCTGACGAGGGCAGGGAGTGATCGCCGACGCGAAAGGGCATGGACAAGGAGCGGCTCCTGACAGGCTTCCAGCGGTAGGTTACATGCATGAATGAATCGAATCGACATCCGAAAGGGAGGGATTCCAAAGACTGTGCAGGTATAAGACTACACAGTTTGGGATAGCTTATAAAAATTAATTGGTAATACCTATAAAAACAAGATGCATCTGCTTTTCGGTAGCCCGGATCGGAAGAACTCCACAGTTAAGCGTGCTTGACTTGGAGCAATTCTGGGATGGGTGACCTCCTGGGAAGTTTTCCCGGGAAGTGTGCGAGTGAGGAAAAAGCACACTGAAAAGTCTCGTGTTAGTATGTGGGGATAGTCATTGATTCTTGAAGCGATCGGGCTTTACAATTAAGGAGTTGTGATGGAGAAGAGATGCAAAGAGTGTGGAGAAGATATAAGTTTAAATAGAAGATATCTGACTCAATCGCACTTATAGTGGGCATAATACCCATCATACACAGGCCTGGACTGGGCATGAATGGTCAGTGGTCATGCCTAAGCTGGACGTGACCTACGTGGCACTCACACCTAAGTGAGGTGTGACCGATAACGCCCAATCTGGGCATGAGATCTTACAATATATCCGTAAATAGTATGAAAACAGCTATAAATTCGTAATTATTTATTTAAATTACAATATTTTAATTTTTTTTGCCCGCAACTTGGTCAGCTCTTTTATCGTCAAAAAATATAAAGTTTTTTTATTTATATATATGAAGGATTATATTTATCTCATTTTACATGAGAGAAATAACTTTCCTACACACACAAAATAGGATGGGTCCTATTACTTTTTTCTCTCTCTCTTCTTACCTGTAGGTCCCACTTGTAATTTTATTTCTACAACATGAGGTAACTATTTTCCTACAACATAAGAAAAATATTTCCCACGTATGAAATCAAGAGGAAATTACAATGATTAATTTTAAAAGAGGTTTGGATCAGCTAAAATGATCTTACGTAGAAGCAGATATTTAGTAAATCGTCACAGCTAAACTAATTATTCTAAAATGTTTAAGTAAAATTGTTTTTTTTTTTAAATATGGTTAAATAATTAAAATACTAAAACCAAAGGAGGAAACTACTGAATAAAATCTTTTATTATTATTTCATTCCATTTAAAGTTTTTCTTTAGTTTTTTATTTTTTTTCCACTTATGAATATTTTGTTATTTAAAGTAATTAATAGCTTCTTTTTTTTTATCATCCAAAACTCTAAATTGAGTATGACCAACCAACAAAGAAAGGGTAATCAACGCACCACTAGGGATAGCCTAGTGGTATTGGGTGTGTTTAGAGTCTATTAGGTATGCGATTCGATTCCCTGTAATGTCCACACACACAAAAAAGTAATCAACATTAAAATACGAGAAACATGTCGGATCTACATTAATTATAATTAAATATTACTTTTTTTAAATTAACCATTAAATCATTTCTAACGAGAAAAAAAACAAGTATTTAAAATGGCAACATAACCGTTTGAAAGATGTCAACCATTATCAAATAACATAAATCAAATCAGTAATAAATGAATGGATATCAATTATTATTAAAATTAACTTACGAAATTAAAAATGGGAACAGAAACAATTGAAATAAATGAAAAATAAAACCCTAAGTATTTTATGGAAGAACCGTTTTGTTTGTTTTCCCCTTTTATTCAAATCTATGTTCATTTTCCTTTTTTTTTTGGTAAAAATTCATTTTCCTCTTTTACTCAAACCTACGTCTGACAATCAATTTAGAAATGTAACTGACAGTTGGCCAGCATCATTTTCTGTCGAATTTGAATCTATACATTAATTAAAAATAAAAAACCACTAGCCATTCACTTGGATGGATTTTTGAAAAAATGACTTTTATGAGTTGCTTTTTTTAAAAGGATTTTTGAAAAAAAACTAAAGTTATTTTGCATTTGGATGCAATCTTTAAAATATGCTTTTAAATAAAGATGTCATTTAGATGTTAAAATAAAAAAGCACTTTTGATAGGATACCAAAAAAAAAAAAGCACTTTTGATTACAAAAAAAAAAGCACTTTTTATATATAAAATGATTGTTGTGCACTTGCATTTTTTACATAGAGTAAATGCCCAAATTGGTCACTGACAAAAAATTCGGTGCCCAAATTAGTCCCTCACAAAAATAAACTCGTTAGATAGTCCCCAACAAAGTGAAATAGGACTCACATTAGTCTTTTTGTCAATCCAAAACTCACGGTGTCACTGACGGTGATGATGTGTCACGTTAAGTGACATGCTGAAGGATATGTGGGTTCAGGAACGACGTCGTTTGGAGAGACTCATCCACGGTCAGACCAGTTCTCTTTCATCCAAGGAACGTCGTCGTTTGTTTTTTAGGGTTGTTCTTAAACCAGAAAGCATGGGTCCTTGAATTGAATATTTAACGCATGAATTTGGGGAAAATTGATTGACGGTTTTTTGAAGGTGGGTGTGATTTAGGGTTGTTCTTAGTTTTTATGCCATGAATATCTTTTCTGGAAGGGGGAGCTCAAGTAGTTCATTTGGGTCCAGAAGTGGAAGAAAGAGAGCTGCTCCATTGTGTAAATGTGGGAGGCACAGTGTTGTTTACACCTCCAAGACACTTAGAAACCTTAATAGATCATTTTTTGGGTGTCCCAACTTCAAGGTGAGGTTGATTTTTTCATGCGTTATTTTTCTAATGTCAATATTATTAACTGTATAGTTCAATTTGGTTTAGGAAAAGAAGCCACACTGTAACTTTTTTACATGGGTGGATGATGCTACATCTGATACCATGGAGCTGGAAGATTGGACAATTAACAAGCTGGAGTTGAATGTAGCTGAAATGGAGTTCAAGTTGAACTTTTTGGACATGAAGCTCAATGATGAACTGCAGCTGGAGGTGAATGACCACAAAAAGAAGATTAATGAGCACTGTATAAAGATTGAAGACATATCAATGAAGATGCAGGTAGACTTTGAAAGGGTTGAGAAGGAAATGATGCATGTGTGTAGGTGTGCTAGGGTGTTTGCTGGATCCATTATCATTGTCTTTGTAATTTGTCTATGTCTTTGTAGTAGGGTGGAGTGAAATGTTAATTTTTAATCTGTAATATGTATGCTTCTTTGTAATGGAAAGACCAGTGTTGGGATGTAATGAGATGTTGTTCATGCAATGTATATAATTTGGTTAATGTCGTTGAACTTGATTGTTCTGAAAGCACAAAATGTAGTATTAAGTTATCTGGAAATGCCAATTAAAAATGCAAAAGACTGTATGAACACTAACAACAAGGATGGAGGGAATTATACATAAGGGGGGAGTGAACAGTGGGTTTGGTAACAGCTTTTTGTGGAACTGGTGTCACTGTCATGGTTAACAGGGACTAAAAAGGACCCCGATGAATTTGTTAGGGACCAAAGTGGCCAAGTGTGGAAAATTACAGGGACTAAAAAGGGCCTCGATGAAAAATGTTGAGGACCTATAAGCTCAATATAACAGGGACCAATGTGCTAAGTTCATGTATGTTTACACCTGACCCCAAAATGACACAGCATACAAAATATAAGCACCAGTATTGACAGAAATAAAAAGTGTATCAGTGTAAGTTGTAATGACAAGCAATGACAACAAAGAGATTGTAAGAAGACCAGCACAATCTTCCATTCATTTCACATCAATGAAAAATAGTAATGACAGCAGAGATATAGTATTTCACAGAACATATTCCATTCATATCATCACATTGTACTTACAATTCCAACTGACATAATATACCATTAAGTAGGAATTATTTGTCTTCCCAAAAAATAAAGTGTTCATACTTAATATGGCCATAACCAGAGGCATACAAAAAAAAAAAAGCCATTGGTGAATCATTTCAACAGGGTCAAAACCAAACTAATTCCAAAAAACTGGCCTAATTACAATTCCATATAACTGGCCTAATAACAAAAAAATGCCAACTGTCACATTTGAACTGGCCTAATGTCAGTCATTACAGAGTTTGCCAAATCATTTGTGTGGGGCTGGCCTAGGTGGCCTAAAATTGGGTGTAGACATAAAGCTCATGAATCTGGCCCTGGTGCCACTGCTAGCTGCAGCTGCTGTCTCACTGGTCACTGCCTTAGCAGGATTGCATGGAGGTGGGCTGCTGCCTCTTGATGCTCTTGAGCTTGGTTCAGCTGCACTTGTTGCATGCTGACTGCTTGTCTCTGGTGCAGGGCAGCCCTAACTCATGATGATTTCTTCAACCGTCCTTGACTGAACTTCAACATTAACCGATTTTGACTTTGCCTTTGAACCACCAGCAGGTCCCTTACATGTTTTCGGGTAATAACCAGTCTCACCACACTTGGAGCATTGAACTGTGTAAGTCTTTCTAAGCTTCTTGTTGGTCTTCATAAGCTCTTCAGTGGGATCCTTCTTGCGATTTTTTTTGGACGTCTAATAGGCCTTTTCAAGTGTGGAGGAAGTGGTTTTGGGGCATCACAAGCTGGCCAATATTGTTGGGAATTGACTGGGTTGAGTGTGTGTTCATAAGTGGCATGCAAAGCATCCACTATCAGCCATTGGTGAACATGATTTTTCACAGGTTCATTCTTGTGTGCAATGGCAGCAATAACATGTTCACATGGCAATCCAGTCAGCTGCCAAACATTGCAACTACAAGATTGTTGAGTTAAATTCACCCCAACACGTTGACCCTTTCCAGAGACTTCATATAGATCTTGGACCAAGTTTTCAGTCCATGTTGGTGTCCAAGAATTGCTTGCAACCTTCAACTGGTCCAACCTCTTCTGCTGTGCAGGTGCAATCTTACCCCTAAAGGTTTGTAGAATCCTCTTGTGTGCTGCCATCCTTCGCATTATGTAGCACCTCAATTCCTCACATAATGTCATTATAGGTTTGGACCTGTAATTCACAATCTATGCATTCCACACCTCAGCCATATTATTGTAATTTGTCGCATTTAGGCCAGTGACTGTAGTATGTCTTAACCCAACATAAAGGATGTATATTGTCAAGATACTTCCAAGCTGGTTCGTTTAGAGTCTTCATCCTTTGCATGACCTTCTCAAATTGGGGAACAATGGTTCATCTAGCACATTCCCACACAATTCCTCTGGTCTCTTTATCCTTCCATTGCTTTATGAAGTTCTTCCATACATGTTGTACACAGAACCTGTGGTGTGAACCTGGCATAATTTCCTTCAAGGCTGGGACAAGTCCCTGTTTGTGAAAAAAAACGATTGGAATAAATAATTAGAAGCATAATGTGAAATAAATATTATATTGCATAATGTGAAAAATGTTAACCTTTTGTTGATCTGATATGAAGTTCCAACCATATACTCCATGATCCCCTAAGTCTTCCTGTAAAAGGGTCAAAAACCACTTTCAATTCTACTTTGTCTCACTGCCAACAACGGCATAGGCAATCAAATAAAATTGCTTGTTTGCATCTTCACCCACAGCACTCCATAATAGCCCTTCAAAAAGCAACCATACAACCCAATTAAGGGCCTACAACCAACCTTGAAGCCCTTCTTACAAGCATCAAGGTAGATGTACATTCGGTCAAATATTGGCAATGCTTGTGGAATAGGTTGGGGGGTCACTTGCAATTTGCAAGTGGAGCCAGGATTGCTCCTCAACAGCTCAGCCAGATATTCTCTTAGTCTTCTATATTGTTCCTTCTCACAACCTTCAATGGTTCCCTTTGCTTTTTTCAAAGCCTTGCTTACTTTCTTCATATCTAAATGAACATTGTATTCCTCCTTCATGTGCTCAAATGCCTCTGACCTGGTCATCTTGGGCTGTGTTAGTATTCTCTTCTCCAATTTCTTGGCCACCCAATCTTGAGTAGCCCTTTTATTCTTTAAGACTCTGCAGCAAGTATGAGTCTCGTTAAAAGTCTTTACTTGGAATATGCTTAGCTTGGTGTTCCAGGCACAATACACCATCAATTCACAGTCTTCTACACTGCATTTGGCTCTTACTCTGACCTTGTCATTCTTAACCCAAATGAAGTTCCTCCCAAGACTAATATTATAGTCTTTTACTGCACACTTAAATTGGTCCAAATTCATAAACTCCATACCAAGTTCTAAATAGACATGCCCAAAAGAAGCTTGTTCATTAAACTTTGGCTAGACAGGTTTAACATTCTCATCATCATCACTTGAAGGAGGAGTCCTCAATTCCTCAGACAGATAGGTATATCCTTCTTCCTCAAATGACATTATGTCTTCCTCTTCATCAACTTCTTCAGATTCAGAGTCTTGAATTGGTGCATCCTTCTTGACTGCCTTCTTCCTTGGGTCTGTTTTGCAGGCCTTTTTTTCTCTGCCAAAGGCACATTGTGTTCATCATCATCTTCTGAATGATCCTCAACACCAAGTGGGGGAGGCTTGTATACCTCATCCTCTGCACTCTCATATGAATCTGAGTGTGAGGAAGCATGGTCATCATCTGCATTATCATCTTCAGACCCATTACCAGCATCCTCTGCACTTTCTTCATCATGGTCCGAATTAATCCCATCATCACCTAAATTCAAGCCATCAGCAACTTGTGCATGGTCTTCATTTTCTTTGACCCCATCATCACCTTGTGCATTGTCTTCATGTGAATTGACCCCATCATCAACCTCTTCATGGTCCTCATTATATGCTGAATTAATGACGTTATCCTCTTCACTGTCATGTTGAGGTGAAGCAAACTCGGGAATTGAGATGCAGTCCTCAAAGTAGACATGTATCTCATTGCCATTCCCTAAAGCAGCCTCACACATGGCACACACATCTGAATCTGTAGTAAGTGGTCTCAACCTTTTTTTCCAAATCGGGTACCCCAGGCTGTAGCCACATCATCTTCTTGCATTTTTCATACCCATATTGCTTAAACAGGGTGTCAAGGTCACGGAGATTACAGTAGTCAATGTCCATCTCTGGCAATGAATCCACCCCCTTCCATTTATATAGTCATCACTCCATCTTCATCTCTGACTAAAATACCACCATGATGATAAACAATCACTATGTATTCGGACATCTGTCAAAACCCAAAAACCAAAACTATCATTAATCCAACAGCCACACACGTTAGACCACTTAAACAATACAAAGCAATAAACAAACAAACATTTTTTTATGGATGCTGACTTTTTTTCCAACGATTTCCATGGGATTTTTAATTGTTACTGGGACAACCATGGACCACTTTCTAAAACAGGGACCACAGCACCCGGTAGTTACATTCTTTAACCTAAACCCTAAATGGAAACATGGACCACAATGTCCACTTCGCATGCAGACAAAAACACACATTAAACAAAGGGGAACAACATAGGGACCACAAACAAAGGAGGACAAAGAACAATAAAAAAAGGTTTCCAGATTTAAATACTCTCTTACCTTTTTGTACGAAAGGTTCAGCCTCACACAAAGGAAGAGAGTTATTTTACTTCGGTTCCCTCCGATTGTTGAAGAAGTTCGTATTCCAAACGCAGTCGAGTTTTTCCTCCACGGTCTTCTTCCTTCTCAACAATGGAGCGTCCAAGTTTGAAGAGAGGGAAAAGGTAAAGTGACCAACGGTTAGGTGAGGGGAAATTTTGGGTTTTATGAGAACTGGTCTGACCAACGTGGATGAGTCTCCCCAAACGACGTCGTTCCTCAACCCACGTGGCCTTCAGCATGTTACTTAACGTGACACATCATCACCGTCAATGACACCGTGAGTTTTGGATTGACAGAAGGACTAACGTGGTTCCTATTTCACTTTGTTGGGGACTATCTAACGAGTTTATTTTTGTGAGGGACTAATTTGGGCACTGAGTTTTTTGTCAGGGATCAATTTGGGCATTTACTCTTTTACATATTATGTGCTGCTACTAGGGGACCCACTTCGTTGACTCCTTCCATCCCGCCACTGCCGAACAGTTAGTAGATTGCCATACTTTTCTCTTTCCCTTTGTTTTTGCATTGCTTGTTCATTTTGTGGTGCCCTAGGTAGGGTTGGAAAAACGGGCCAACATATATGCAACCTGAAAAAGAAATGAGTCGGGTTAAGGTTGGCTCGAAAAAAAATAAGCCAAAAACCCCAACCCGACCCGAGCCAGATTAGGGTTGGCTAAAAAATATGGCTCGTGGATTGACTTGAAAAAATGGCTCGCGAGTTGGCACAAAAATTGGCTTGCAAGTTGGCTCAAAAATGGCTCGCGGGTTTGCTCATTTTCAGCCTATTTAAATGAACATGTATTATTAATGCACCAGCTATGCGACTTCCATTGTAACAGCCTGTTACGTACCGGTAATGTTATCATTGCATATGGTATTAAGCGCAGTTACAATCACAGTAATTGAATTAATTAAATTACGGGTAAACTTTTCTTTTATTACATCCTTTTCTTTAAACATCAACCGTTTCTGTAATCAATTAAAACAACGCCATAATTGTAAATGCAAAACTCGCGGAAGCATAAAATATACCCAACATCAACTCTCTAAGCAATACCATTCATTTTAGATTTTTGAAAACACATTTTCAAAATTTAACACAGTGGTAATCCATTATCACCTTGAGGTAATCGATTACCAAGGGTTACTGTAGAAGTCAGAACCTCAATTTGGGCTCCCCTGTTTTCAGGTAATCGATTACGAGAGATTGGTAATCGATTACTGAACTAGGTAATCGATTACCAATCTCTGGTAATCGATTACTTTGATCACAGTAGCTCAAATTTTCGTCCTCTGTTTCAGGTAATCGATTACCAATGAAAGGTAATCGATTACTCTGCAGTAAAATGACAGAAGACAGCTTTAAAGACACAAAATGAGTGATGTAACATACTCCTAACACCTTGATACTTAATATACACCTTACACAGGTACTAATGTAGGCTATAAGCCCTTCCATCATGCATATTCATTAATCAATGCATCATTACAACCATTTGCAATATCATAGCCATTTTACACAACCAATGGTCTATTTACAACTCAAGTCTTCCAATGCCTCAAAATACTATTATGTGGCCATGGACAGGTCTCGTGCTCACTCAAAATACAAAAATAACAAGAGGCATAACTATACATCAATTTTAAAGGACTTAACATATAGTCATAAATATACAAGAGCATGGCAATATCCACATGCAACAAGTTCATAACCTAAGTCCAAAATATTAAATACTATGCTATGTACATCAAATGGAATCCTTCAATATGTCATGCTCTCTAAATGCACCTCACGCTCTACTCTTCCACTAAGCGGGCCTCTTGCTCGGAGATCCACCATGCTCAACATGACCTGAAATGATGTCCCCAAACGCGGGGTGAGATATACAAATATATCTCAGTAAACCAAGGGTACTAGAGGATCACTCCACCCCATGGCTCACTCAATGTGCATACAATGATCATCATATAAAATGCATAACATACAGATATCACACAACAACTGGGCACAAATCCAAGGACATCCACATCAGGATTCCCTTCAAGGACCCCATCATATAACTCCCGGAATCTTCTTGGTGCCTCTCCCATGGTTGAGACAACCCCATGGCAAAACCCAACTGGAACTCCTCATGAGCCCTATTCAGCGAAAGTCCCACATTTGGATCATCCTGGTACCGCTCCCAGAGTCGGTTCCACGGCAAAACCCGACCGGAATCCCCAAAGGATATCTCCAGCGGAAGTCCAAACCAACACACATCTACTGGCCAGAGATCACAATTATACCACACAACATATTCCAAACATGTCACACAATCATGTCAATAATGAATGAACATACATTTATACATAATCAAAGGCATCAAATCCAACCACAACCTTCTACTAGGTGTGGTGGAACACACGAGGGAATAAAACCCAAGTTCCAAATGTTTACCTCAACTCTGAAGCCAATGCTCCACAACGTAAGCTCCAAGCTTAATTCTCCTCTATTGAGTCTGAGAGAGGAAACCTATAATGATCAATCAACATGATCATCAATACAATTTCAAGACAACCAATTCACTTTCAAATACAATAATTCTCAACAAAACAACTTAGGCCTAATGGCCAACTACATTTAATCCAATTACTTCAACCATTTTAGTCATTAAACTAAATCACCATTTATGCACTAAGGCATCACTCATTGGTCATACCACATTTTCACATCATTTTCCTTATTTCCTTCAATATGGTTGAAATCTCACACACACAACACATCCAACATTCCTCCTTTCAATTTCACTACATCAAACCAACCTACCATTCATTTAAACACTAGTCACGATCATACAACATTAACTATATCATTTTTACATCATCTAACCATTCATGACCTCAATAGGTCGAATTTCACATTCTAGGATCCCAAAGGATTTTCAATCCAATTCAACACTTACACATGTCATAAAATCCCCTTATTAACCTATACCAATGGTTCATGATTCAATTGTTCAATTACACCACATACCAATTTCTTAAAGTCTAGAAACTCATCACAAAATTGTCTAAGTTAAAATTCCCACATCACCATAAATTTTATTATATCAATCATCATCACTTCTCATTCTAAGCATTTTATTACAAAGGAGACATATCATTTGAAGCTCCTAACTATCATTACTCAACATACAACTTCAAAACCATCATCAATATCATGATCTCATCAAAAACAAAGTGAGGGTGAAAAACCTTACCACCAATAGCTTCCTAGGATCCAAGGGGATGATCTCCAAGCAATGATTCAACCCAAAGACCCCCAAAAATTCTCCAAAATCCTACAAAACCGCCGCTAAATATGGGGTTTTTCTCAAGATGTGGTGGTTTTCATAGCTTAATACTACTACCAATGGATTAGGAAGGTTGTTTCCAACAAGTTTCAAGTCAAGAATCACTTGAATCGGTCAAGAAATGAAGAAGTTACAAGAGAAAGGAATTGGGCAAGGTTTTGGCTATGGAGGATGAGAAACCCACGGGAGAGGAGAAGAGAATGGAGAGAGAATGGAGAGTAATTATGACTTTTAAGTCACTTAAACCATAAGTGGGTCCCACACGCGATTTAACTTTAATTAATCACCTAATTTAAACCACAAATTCATAACTTACATATTTTTCTCGTTCGCGTCATATTTTTGATTCCTAAAAATACTGATCAAAATTTCACACTTATCGGTACAGTTCTACCGCAGTATTTTACACCGAAAAATCA